TATGCGAGTCAAGGCCAATAACGCGTCTCGGAAGTGGGTGCAGAGCCGTGCCGGCTCGATGCTCTTGGTCGGTACGGATCCCAGCGCCAAAAGGGTGCTCGTGAGGACGTTTGATAGCGTCACGGAGGGAGATCCGTCGTCAACATGTTGGAGCGCCCTTAAGAGCGTGAGCGATAGTGGAAAGCTCAAGCTGGGATGGATTGAGGATGCGCCGCTCCTCGCTAAACCTCGCGCAACTTCGAAGAGAAGCGGCGAGAAGTAACGGCCGGCAAGGATTTGATTGAGCGCTCCTGCTAACATGCTAGCAGGTTCGGCTTCAGTCGCAGCGTACTCGAAAAGCCGGGGAGCAGATGGGGACTGTGTTGTGACGAGGATGTGGAGAAGTTTCAGGGAAAGGACACTCTCGTAGAGCAAAAGCTGTGCGGTAGTGGCGTTGGTCTCCTTCGCTGCAGAGAGCGCTGCCGTCTTAAAGCGCTTCAACTCGTCTAGAACCAGCCACTCTCCGATGCCGACGATGCCATCATCAATGTCGGCGAGTCTCTGCAGTAGGTGGCCTCGGTCACAGGGATCCAATATTCTGAAGAAGGCAGCGACGTCGTCGAGGATCAAGGGGAGCATGGGGGTTAACCAGTTTCGCGGGGTCTCCTCATCGTCCACGGCCATGGCATCTTGAAACGAGATCGGTAGCAGGTTGTCCACCAGGGCAAATATTTGCCCAACATAGTGACATGGGTCGTGATTGCGAGGTGAAAGAGCTTGTCGCAGGAGGATCTGGAAGGCTATCCGCGATGTGCCACTCGAAGTAGACTCTTCGATGAGTAGACGAGCAACGTCAATGCACGTTCGGCGCATCGAATGCCTGACTGTTGCTCCATCGTCGGTGCGTTCAAACCGTAGGTCCGCCGAGTCGGAACATGCGAAGAGATCCGATATGGCTACGATCAAGGTTCGCAAGCTGCGACCGGGCAAAAAGCTTGCCGGCATAAGCAGTTTCAGTAGGCGTAAAGTTTCGTACGCCGCGCATAGTAGGTGAACAACGTGATCGGTGGGGGTGGATGGCGGCGTGGATAAATCGAAGTACTGTTGTACATCTGCTGCAAGAATGACGAGATGTTCCACTAGATGAAGCGCCAGTCCCTGTCCGTTCTCATCCCACAAGGCTCTCAATGCCGTGAGCTCATCGTCCCCGCTCAACTCTTTCGCCACATACGCCAATGCGATTCGCATCTCGAGTAGATGATGAGGAGATACAGGCCGAGTCGCAGCATGCGAAAGCGTCCGTAGAGCGCCGCCAATGCCATCCTCTGCAGGTGTCGCCAGATCCTGGAGTGCGCGTCGTTCGTCCTCGTTGATGAAGAAGCAACCGGAAGGTAGCTTGAGCACCGTTGAACGGAAGTGCTCGGAGAGATATGACGCCGGATAGCGTGCGATGTCGACCAGTATCTGTTCAATGTAAACGTCGACCGTCGTCGGCTTCATGACCTTCGTGCCGTCTTCATGGACGATCCGACATTCGAAGCGATGCATGAACTGCCTGCCGGCCATTATCTCTCGGATGATCTATATATAGCGTGAGGGACTAGAAGCAAGGAGATTAACGACTCAATACAGACCTCGCGGTAGCCGGGGCACCCCTGCCATAGGGAGACGATGGGGACAACGCGGTTCAAGACCATCTCACCATCTGCATCACCCATGCTATCAGTCCAAGAGAAGACGGTCAGAACGCTCGCGACACCGATCCACGCGCGCAAATACGCCACAAACTCATCGTGCGACGTGAAATCTCGTTCACAATCGGCATTGACGGGTGCGTCGATGTCGACTGGATTCTCAGCCAGACGATCGCGCAGTTCGTCATTCGCGGTAAGAGCGTGCAGAACGGCGCCCAATGCGGGCTGATCAGAACTAATGGCAATGCTTTGGAGAAATGCGCGTGCGGCTTTGAAGTCTGCCTGCGTATTCCAAAGAGCGTCCGATAGCACATTCCATCCATTCACTCGCTGAAGCAACTGTGGTCCATGAACCTGAAGCAACACATCTCCGATCTCTGCCACCAATAACGCGCGTGCGATGTCCGGGTTACCCGCGGCACTGACGAGCCGCCTGTAAGTGTCTGGCTCAACGATAGAGGGTTCGAATATCGAGCGCAAGTCAAGGCGCTCCTGTAGATACTGATTAGATACGAGAGTGAACAGCATCGGCAAGGTACATACAGCGAATATTCGAGCAAAATCGGGGTGCTGCCCTGCAATGTTGTGCAGCAAGAGGGAGATGTAGTACGCTTGATTGTCCGACTGCATTTGCATTAGTGAAGCTGTTTCGAACAAGGTTTAGGGATACTCACGGCCGGCCCCAAGGACTCGACTACTCTGTTAACAAACCGCTCGAGGGCGTCATACGAGACGTCGTCGGGCACGGGCCTTTTTGTAATGATAGCGGCCACTTCAGCGTCGAACTCCCCTTCTTCCTCCAAATCGGCGTATATGTAGGGAAAGTCAGAGCGGTCCCAGTCCTCCGGCTCCGGCTTGATGCACCATGAAAGACGCAGGGCCATGGGGAACGGAGGTGCGTCGGGTAGAAGCTTGAAAAGCGACAGAGCCAACGTTGTTGGGTCGTAGTGGGTGGCGGGATTGAGAGCGTCCTGAAGCTGGTAGGGCTGGATCGCCGGCAGAGGATTTGACTCGTACACGTTTATCGTCGGGAAAGCAGCTGATACCGTAGTCCCATAGACGGCCAAGGAGAGCTTCTTGAAGTCGCCACGAAGTATAAGTAAACGTGTCGCCCACTGTACGAGTTGAGTATAGGAAAAGTGATATTCTTCGTTGACACACCTCCTCCGTCATATCTACCGCGAGGTCTATGGCACTCCCAGTGTATGTCCCCGTCGCCGAAACCAACGCATTACTCGGCTTTTGTTTTACCTCGGTGGGAACGCGAGGCGTTGGTTGAGCGTTGAAATAAACGTGAAATTGGAATATATCGGGTTGTGTTTCACTGTATAAAGCGCCAAAATAATCAGAAAACTGCATAGTAGCGCCTGCGAAACGGGCGAGGCTTACGAGTGTGTACCGGAGTCCTGCTCGAAAGGCTGCGTATCCTTTGGGAAGAGGCGAATGGAACGGACTCGTACGGCTTGCGAGAACCGAATAGCTGCGACATTCGACGACCCTGCGGGCTCTACCGTCCCCCAGTATAGTAGGGTAATCATTAGCAAGATAGTAGGAGGTAAGACCAGGGGCCGGTGGTGGACGTTCGGGTTGGGTTGTTCATGACCGCGCGCCAGACTTCCGGTAAAGCTCGCGTGGGAAGATATTGATCCGCTCCGGAAGGTTGTTGAGCTGCAGAAGTTCGTCTTGACAGCCACGGTGCCACACGCGCGCTCGATCTTGCTCACCGCAAGACTTTCCCCTTTGTTCTTCTAAGGCTTTACGAACGGGCTCTGACACGATCCTTTGATTTCCTTTCATGCACTCTGATCCAGAAAAGGGCGGTTCGGCGGGAAGATCGTCGGGAAACCAACCTCATCCCAACGACGGTCATTGGTCTAAACATCCACCTCTCAACATGCACTCTATCCAAGAGTACGACGAGGAGAACGTCAGCGGAGGCAACTCTACGGGGCGTGCTGGTACGGGCATTGATGGTCTATGGGTGTGCTTTGTTACTGACTGCGACCCGTGTGGCACCAGATGTCGCGTCCTTGAAACCCCCTTCCTTTGCACAAAGCGAATTTCAAACCGTGAGTGCCTGCGCAAGGTCCTCGCTCTAGTCATCTACTAAGATAACTGTGAGGCTATAGATAGTGAGAAGACAGCGTCATGGAGGAGATCCTGATGGTCTCAAAGTCGGCCATCGCCACGAGCGCCATCCGCACCTCCGGAATGACTGGGAGTTCTCGGTGAGTATATACGATACATTGGGATCTTCTCTATTTCTTACCTTTACAATGATACTATTAGGGCTGGGGGTCAATGCAGTACCTAGATATCCCTGACAGTGAACTCTCAGCGGCGCAGTCGCGATTCGAAGCCCCACGCCATTACCTCAATCGTCTACTTGCATGTGCCGTTGCGGGTAACGACATCACAGGAGGAGTGTTCTACACGTTCCCACTAGTTGCGGCTGCGGCGGGTCAGTTGATGGTCTCTGCTCTCCTCCATAGCTCAGTCTACTCATGCGGCATAACAGGGGTTTATGCTCCCATATGTTTGGTCTTGGCTTGCCTCCTGCTATCGCTACTGCGACCCCTGCTGTTGGAGCTTGCATCTGCTGCGCACCTTAATGGGGCGTAAGTTTCAACTTCTTATTAACATTATGCATGAGCTCAATCATACTGTTACAGGAACTACATCTATCTTCTTCAATTCTCCGGCAAGACGATGGGCGTTATTGGTGCCACTGCTACATTATTGGATGCGATCTGCACATCTACCGTATCTGCCGCCACGGCCAGCTCCTATCTCTCTGGAGAGTTTACTCATCTACCTGTATCACCTGGAGTCATCACCATAGTCTTACTGATTGGGCTGGGTCTCCTGGCCTTGGCCGGTCTACGAGAGAGTGCATCAGTATCCGCTGCAATCTTTGCCTTTCATGTGCGTGTGACTAACTTCATCGTCCTTATACTATCCCGATTGACATCTGTGTCAGATTCTCACCATGACTGTCCTCTTCATCACGTCCGTCGTGCACTGGGCAACCACGGATCCTCACTCGTCTGTATTGAGATCCAACTGGGCGACAAGACCCGGCGCAGCAGGGGACACCCTTCACTCGCTCTTCTTCGGGACGTGCATCGCATTCTTGGGAGTGACAGGCTTTGAATGCACGCCCTCATATGTCGAGCATTTACGTCCGCGGACATACTCCCACGTCTTACGCGACCTCATTATCGGCGGCACGCTAGTCAACGGATTGCTCTCCTTCGCAGTCTACGCAGTTCTTCCATCGACCACTATCCTTGAGGGCAACAACGTTCTTTCTACGCTTGCCGAGGTCTCGGGTGGAGGCAAATGGCTGCGGTACTGGACCGTTGTTGATGCTGTCTCCGTACTACTTGGGGGAATCTTGACTGGCGTTGTCACGGCCGGGACGTTGCTTGATCGCCTCGCTAAGTGCGTCTATCTACCTGCCTCCGTCTGTGCGTACCACTTTACTCACATACGCTCAGGGACCGGCTATTGCCACAGTTCTTCCTGCTCAAGCTCCCCGTCACGGGCAGCGCATACATTGCCACGCTTTTCGCTCTGGGATTATCTTTGCTCTTATACGTGGCATCGGCTCTGAGCCTCGAGACCGTCTCGGACATGTTCTCCGTATCATTCGTCTTTGAGCTTCTTCTGGTACGTCTGCTTGAATGTCAAACGAGCCCGAGCTAACGAACATTGACACCAGTACGTCATCTCGACGCTTCTATTGAAGTTCAATCGACCACATCTTCCTGTGTCATACCGTGCATCTATGCCTACCGTCCTTTGTGCGTTTGTGGCCATGCTTGCCATGTGGATTGGGAACATAGTCGCCAAGTAAGTGCAGTCTACGCTCTGACAAGATGCTCTATTTACCTCCCGAGATAGCCCTCTCTCACTCGGCTTGTGGGCTGCATCTTTCGCCGTCGTCTTCTCAGCTCTGCTTCTTGTTACTGCGCAACCTTACATAGTGCGCCTATTGCTCCGACTACACGGATCTAGCCCGCTTGCAACGTATGAGTGGACCGCGGGATGGGCGGAGCGTTTGGTCAAATGGTATCGACGCAGCCGAAGTGCCCGCATCTGCGTGTGGATCAAGGATGATAATGTAGGCGTTCTTCACTCGACTATCTCACGCGTATTCATAGCATCTTCAGATCCATACGATGCTACAAGCGCTCTTGTCAGTGCAGAAGAACTCGCCGGACGCACGGACGGTCGTCTTTGTGCATGCATACTCGAACATTGACCATATTCCCAGCGAACTTCACCCCAACGCCCGGCTACTTGACGAAGCCTTCCCTTCCATCACCATTGAGTGAGTTCTTGAGTTTCAGTCTGCCAACTTGTCTCGTACTCATGTCGTCCCCTCAGCCTGTCTTTCGTGCAGGGGTCCTTTGGCCCAACAGTGCGTAGCTCGTTTATTTCCCCACACTTGTACTGATCATTCTTCGTGAAGCTTGTGGAAGCTGCTTCAAGCATCATGAACATCCCGCGCAGTCGCATGTGTCTCATCACACTTGGTCAAGACCATTCGTGGTCACTGGCTGACTATGGCGGCGTACGCGTCATTATGTGATAACCCTTTGCCAGAGGGCGTCGCGCGGGTTCCGGAATATCATGACACTAACGACTTTTCATGATTCATGACCTCTGTACAACCTATCTGTAGACCATAGCGGAGCGCTCAGCGCAGTACATAGAACTCTTACCAGATAAGCTCACGCATCACCTGAATGTCAACATATCAATGTTGAATTGTCGTCCGAATGATGGTTTGTCTGCCCTGCTCACGTCAACGCGCCACGCAATTGCGCGAGTGGGTTCAAATGCCTCTTGCCTCTCGCCATCGCTTACGGTCGTTCACTCTTTGAATATTCATACCTTTGCTGTTCTGTATGCGGAAGGTGGCTCGTGGACCCATCATGCTCAGAGGATAATTTAAAGCAATTACGCTTACTCTCTGACGCGAAAGCCTGGACTTCGTCATCGGTGTTGACCTTCGATTTCTCATCCTTCCTATTGGGCACACGCGCTACGGCTTCAGCGGGTCTCTATATGATCTTCGCTCGCACTTTGAGCTTCAGAGCTGCAGGAGGCTTCAGAGCTCTTGCACATCGACCAAGCCGGATTTACACCATGGCCCAACCAGCAGCCCCGCCATCATCGCAGGAGAACACCTCCATGTCGCAGCAGGAGCGCCGGGTATACGGGCGCCTCTCAATGATAATGGAGCATTTCGTGCGTAGTCTACTTAATACTTGTTCGGGATATAGTATGCTCACAGGCGCCACAGCACAACAATTTTCGGCGGACATGGAATGTGCTCTACTCGTCGGTGTCCAACGAAGAAACGGAGCCTGCCACCAAGCCGCTACCCGCGAAGCGCTTGATCGACGTCGGAATGGAGTTCGTCGACCACCTCACGCTACACCACACCATTGAGGAGCAGCACCTCTTTCCCATGCTCGCGAAGCGCATGCCCGGGTTCAAACCCGACGCCTTTGCGTACACCCAGCACAAGGGCATTCACGAGGGACTCGACAAACTCGAAGCCTATCTGAAGGCATGTCGGCGCGGACAACGCGAGCTCAGGCGGGAGGAGCTGAAGGAGATTCTCGACTCATTCGGAGGAGTGCTTTGGCAGCATCTCGATGAGGAGGTTGCTGAGCTCGCACCGGAGAAGATGAAGGCCGCCTTCACCTTAGAAGAAGTTATGCGAATTCACGTTTGATCGCTGTTGTTCCACCGCGCCACCCGCTGTAATTCAACTTCAGTCCTGTCTCGGCCTCATGATAAGCACCCCTCCGTGGTCCTCGTATCTAAGGATAGTGCCAGGATGCATCACCGCAGTAGCCTTGAAGGATTTTGACGTTGATAGGGCGCTTCGTATCTTGGGTCCGATCGACGTATCGCTGGCTCGGCAATGGGGATCGACATGATACGGGGACGCTCATTCTTCTCCTTGCGGGGGTCATGCAATACCTACGTGCCTGACTTCGTACATCCATTCTTCCGTGCGGGGAAGCGTGATACCAAGTGCAGATCATCAAGGCTATCTAGGTTTACCTGGTGTTGCCTTAGGCTATCTATCAGCCTCAGGTCTCAGCGTTGCACTGATGAGCGGTATGGCCGAGCATCGTTCTCGCGCCCGCCAAAGCGGTCGCTCGTCTGACCATCTCATGCGTTCATCGTATCCGCGTGCTTCTTGATGGGCGAACGAAAGAAGCGCATACGGGCTACTAACTTGGACCTAGGAACATCGAATTCGGAGGTCTTACGGCTACTCCGCGGTGCGTGTACTGCGGCTAATCCGGCCGCTATCTGCTTATCTCTTGTCCTGCTCCTCACCAACGCTCATGCCCCTTCCACAGTACTTATAGCCCTACAGTCTACTTTGCTTCTCCAGCGCTCGCTCTCCGGAATTGTTCAGCCGCCGGGTAGTACGCCTTTGCGCTAGCAGCTCATTGACGCCATGCCTTCCTCCATCGACGAGAAGTCTCCCATCGACGAGAAAGCCTCGTACGATGACGGCGTCATCTCCAAGGTTGACGCCGAGGTATCCGTGAACGAACTCAGGGACGACACTGGTATGTCAACCATGGCTCGAATGCGAACATGGCTCATACTCCTTGTCGCAGTGCACGCCGCCGAAGGCGACTATACCGAGGATCAATACGCTACATTGAAAAAGAAGATCGACAGATATCTCCTTCCCCTCATGTGGCTTTGCTGTTCGTCTCCTGGCGTCTATCCACGGCGCTCATGCTGATCAAACTGGCAGATGGTATCCAACAAACGGACAAGACGGCGACTGGTAAACGCTCTTGCTTCCCCAACTGGTTCTGCACTTTCTCAATACGATTCACGTCTAGGCACGATGGCTACCTTCGGTATGCGTACCGAGTAAGTCTGGAATTCCCAGTGCTAGGCGAACAGATGGCATTTACTGATCATCTTCAGCACCGGTCTTGTTGGACAACAATACTCGTGGTTGACGACTATCTTCTGTACGCCACAGTATATGCTACGGAGCCTTCGCTGACTGACTGCTACATAGACATCACGTACATGTGCTGCGAGTTCCCCTCCAACTTCCTCCTGCAGCGGTGGCGACTTGGCCGTACTCTTTCCATCTACATGATCTGCTGGGGCATCATCGTGCTTTGCATCGGCTTTGGTTCGTCCGATGTTTGTTATGGGCGTTTCTCTACCCTGACCCTCTTGTAGCAAAGAACTTCAGTCACCTCATTGCTCTTCGTGCTCTCCAGGGTGTAGCCGAATGCTGTATCAGCCCAGGTTTCTTGCTCGTCATTGGTAGCTGGTACAAGACGCGCGAGCACCCTTCTCGTTCCTTGTTCTTCCAGGTTCGTCGCAAGCGTTCCGACCAAATGCGACCATCTGACCGCGGTACACAGAGCGCGAACGCCGGCTTTGGCGCCATCTCTAGCTTGATCCTCTACGGCATCGGTACTCTTCAGGAGAAGCATCCTGGCTTTCAGGCATGGAGGGCCATGGCATGGGTACGCGGCACTCACCCTATACCTTGCGCGTTCTGATGCCTGTTGTAGTTCCTGGGTGGTCTCACAACCGTGGTCGGCATTCTTTGCTTGTACTTCCTCGGTACGCCTTCGGAGGTCCCGTGGCTCAAGCCTGAAGAGAAGCGCATGGCGAACGCGCGCATCGTCTCCAACCAGTCAGGCAATGACCGTACCGGCACACAGACGTGGAAGTGGTATCAAGTCCGTGAATGCCTTACCGACCCCTGCGTCTGGTTGTCCGGCTGCAACGCGTTCCTGTCGAGCGTGCCGAACGGTGGTATTACGACCTTCGGTAGCATCATCAACCAGAGCCTTGGCTTCTGTACGTGCCAGTCTTCTACAAGGTCGGCGTTATCCTGAACCCTAGCAGCGAACCTTCAGGTCATCCTACTCGGCATTCCGATGAATTGCACGTCGGTCATCCTGTTCGTGATTGTTGGTTTCAGCACAATGCGTTGGCAAGGTCTGCGGATGTACATCATGGCTGCTGCGACTATCCCGCCCTTCATCGGGCTGCTCGGCATGTCCCTCATAACCACCAGCCCGGAAACGAAGGTTCGTAGTATCATCATGCTCCACAAGTAGCGTTGTCTGACATGTACGCGACAGTGGACGAAGTGGGGCATGTACTACATGGTGAGTTCTTCTGACCCACATTGTCGTTGATATTTACTCACGCCCGCGTAGACCGTGCCCTTCGTTCTCGCAAGTATGTCATGTAGATCTCAGCTGTCGCGTGTAGTACTCACTAAGCCGCAGTGTTCCTCGGTTGGACCCTCATCCCGAGTAACTTCCCGGGGCGTACCAAGCGTACGGTCACGTCTTCCTTCACCTTCATGATGTACTGCGTGGGCAACATGGTGAATCGCTCGACTATATTCGGCAGTCTCGTATACTCAATGATATATTAGGTCGGCTCTCAGATCTTCAAGGCGGAAGACGCTCCGAAATATACCTCAGGGACCGTCGGTTGCAGTACTTGCTTCGCCCTCGAGTGCTTGGTGATCCTGAGTGCGTTGCAGTGCGCTGCCGTTTGCAAACCCGACTAATGTATCGACAGCTTGGCGTACGATCTATGTATTGCGCAACCGCCGACGTGAACGTGCGGCAGCTGCTGCCGGTATCACAGAGGAGGAGCGTGTCGCGCAAGGGAAGCTAAATGGCGAGCTTGACAAGACCGACTTCGAGAACCAGCACGTACGTGACTTGCTGCTATACCTTTGTCCATCTTGCTGATCTCTTCACCAGTTCCGTTACACCTTGTAGACTTTTCACGATTGACGTTTTCACGTTTGGGACTGTTGTACATATAGACGATTAGGGGACCCCTTGTAGGACATGATATGCACTGGATCTTTGCTTTCCTACGCCTGCCAAAGATGAAGGGACGACGCTCCAATGTTTAGCGCACAAATCCGATGGAGTAAACACGATAGCCCAGCATGCAGAACACATAAAACATGAGTGAGAGGGAAATAAGGGGCGATATGTATTACTGGGAGCATGGCCGAGGGAGACAATGCGTCATTTGCGCATGCGTTTCTTGAAGCGTTCCATAGCCTAGTAATGATCAGTAGCTACAGATGGTACAACGGCCTGGGAGACGGACCAGATCGTCCGTCGCAACTTGACCGTGTTGATTTCGAGGGCGATACTCCTCTTCCTCTTGTGGTGGTAAGCCCATCGCTTCACGCTTTGCGTCGCGAATGATATCCGCATCCGATTTCATGCGTAGATTAGGTTGGTAGACTGGTGGAAACGTCAGCGCACCGGCCTATCGACATCAAGGTGGAGGGATAGATCGTACATCGCTGGTTCACCAGATGCTGCTCGTCGCTGGGCACCAGCCTCTTCCGAGCCTGTCTTTCGTGGGCCATATCTTGCTTCGCTTTCTCAGTCTCCTCAATGTTCTTCAAGCGTGCGCTGCCACAAGAATCAGACAACACCCCACCACGCTCGTGAGCTGTACGCACTCCATTCCAAGATCAACTTCGGGAATGGCGGTCAACATCGACGCGCTATTGGTAACGTTGCCTTCTTCAAGCGTTTTGCGCTTGCTGTCAGACTGGTCGGGAGTTTCTGCCGCGTCTTTCGACGTCCCGGCCGCAGCCTCTCCAGATGATTCTCCCAGACGACGTTTCTTCATGTTCTCTTCGATATAGGCCATCCTGCAAGGTGCCCCGTCAATTGGGCGCTGGGATGACGATGGAAGAGCAGTACATATGCTTGTCAACGTCTAGCGCGTTTGTCTGCTGCGTGAAGTTACTCTGTCGCACGGAACGACGCGCTTTAGCGTCCTTGTCGCCAGTATCGCTGCATTATATGTCAGCTCCATGACGGACAGGAATATTATAGACGCCACGCACTCTTCAGCTTCCTCCGCAGGCCGCACACCAGTTTTCAAGCCGTACGTCTCGCCGGGCTCGCCTTCGTCAGGACCGCGTTTCCGGCGCTTCTTCGTTTCGCCCGCGATGAGTTTGGTGGCGTCGATTCCCTCTCTCTGTCTCCTGAGTTTGCGCAGCTCGACTAGTTCATGCAGTCTTTTGCACTCGAGAACGAGTTTTGTCAGTCCCCCGCGTTGGGATACATGCATTGAATCTGACACACGGTAAGTTCGCCTCTTCTGCGTCTGCTGTCGGTGAACCAACTTCAGGTTGTGTGAGAGCATCATCGGCCTCGCGCGCACGAGCAGCAGTTTGAGGGCGAGAACGCTTTCTGATCATATCTTCTGGAGTTTGCGAGGCGGATGCAGTGGAAAGGACGATAAGGGAGCGCCGAGGGAAGGTGGAGGTTCGCGATGAAAGGCGTTCAGGACGCAACTTGCTCTCACTGAGCGCCGGAAGTCGGCCCGCACTTGAACGCGATCACATGTATTCGGAGGCACTACCCTTACTCGCACCCACACCTGCTTGGAGCGGAACGACACAGTATCGCACGAGTTGGATATCAAAGTAGAAGGTAGTTGTGTTACGTTCGATAAGAAAGTGCGTACAGAGGACTAATATGCGAGAGGGCAGGTAGTGGGATCGAAGCCGGCGCAATCATCGTGCTGTCGCCGATCCCGCCTACGCGGGCAGCGAATCACCCATGACGTGCTCACGAAAGTGCATAAGCGGACCCTCCAAATCTGCATCCTCGCCTTGTATTCCTTCCTTCTCCTCATGTACGTTCTGTTCGACTCGTGGCCGGCGTCGATGTCGGTGTTTATGACGGGGACGTCGAAGCGGTGGAAGATTACCATCCTCCAAGTCGGAAGAGTCCCGTGGCTGATGGATATGGTTGAGGAGTAGAGAATAGTATGAGGACACTGTCTTCGCTTCCCGCAACGCCTTGCGGAACTTTCTTCCGGCTGGGCTGGATGATGCGAGCAGCGGTACACGGTTGAGATGACACGTCGCACTGAAGCCACACGGTCAGCCTTCGCTTTATAGATCTCTGAGCTGATTCAACGCACATGTGTCTCCTAAGCGCTGCTTGAGTAAAGCGGTAGTACTCATGGGTATCGCATGTGGAGAAACTACAGAACAACACTAGCGGTGGGTCGTCAGATTGATCATTCTGGTCTGTCACAAGGTAGTTCGGTGCGGCCTTTTCCAGACGCGCGCGTCGGAAGTTGTCAACCCCGTATTTTACCTGCCAGTGACAGAATAGTGAGCGCAGTCGAAAAAAACAAGAGGTCAAAAACACACCTCATCTAAGGCTTCGAGAGTGCCCAGCACGCTCGGGTATATGCTTTTGAGCCTCTCCGCTAGAGGGTCCGGCAGCGCGATTTGAGGGCGGTTTAAGCCAGTCTCAGTATCCCCTTCAAGCTTGGCTATCTTTGTCGATGCCCGGCCAACACAGTCCATGCTGCTATCCGGAGCGTCTCTCTTCAAAGAGCCTCTGTGATGGCTGGTACGCTCCTGATGATCGAGTTCCGTCTTGGATTCTTCGATGCTCGTATCAGGCGTAAAGCGCATCTCATCGGCTGCCATTGAGTCGTCGAGGTACAAGAGCGTGTCCCTTAGCGAGAGGTCAGAACTCAGTTTCGCTCCACTCTCAGAGCGCGAGCCAAATGTTCGCCTAGAAGCTTTTCCAGCTACAACGAGACACGAATTGCAACATGAGCCTCAGTTATCGTCGAAGGAGTGATAACGAGTACTCACGTAGCGCATGCCACCACTGATGCTCTCCCAAGCTCCCAAAGTAGTCTGTATGTGGTATGTCCTCAAATGCTCTCAACTCATTCGTAAACAGATCCGGATCAATGTCAGCGGCGCCGGGTTGCCTGCAACGTAGCGCGATCATCTCGGTGAGAGCGTGTATGAACGGCGAGCGGGGAAGCTCATGTCTACGGCGTAAATCGCGAGCATTCCACTATAGCAAGCATTATCAGCGCTCTATAAGTCAGGAAGGGAGATGCTGCTCACGAGTTCGACAATGAAGTCGTGCGCGTGCGCCAGCTGCGAAGATTCGGGTGCGCCTTTCAGCGCGCACAGCGCAGCGTGGACCCGGGCAACGGCAACAGCAAACTCTTCCATCCCGACGACGGCAAGCAACAACGGCGCAAGTGCCCTGAGACAGGAGGACTGACGAACAGGAGCAGCTGGGAGCTAGATGATCGTGCAAGGACAAGGAGAAGACCCAAGCCAGCCACTACCCGTGGCCGAAACGCGAACCATAACGTGTGACATCACGCGTGCCCTGCCACCGGACTTCGAGTCTTCGACATGCCACCAACGTCCGTCCGACCTTATCCCCCCGCGCAGTCGCGTACAGAGTTCGATGAGGCAGAAGAAAGCAATGCAACGCGTACTTACTTGAGTCTGGAGCCATAAAAATATGTGTTCGGGGATAGATAGCGGGTGGTGAGAGTCTATGTGTACCGCACAGCATCGACGCTTTACGTGCTTTATGGAGATCTGAACTCGGCGTATACATCCACGGATGGCAGGATAATCTGTCGCTGAGCGACCTCTCGCGAGAGCGTAATATAGCTGACGAGCGGAGTTACAGCTGTATCGGGACGTCCGAACCATACCGGATAGAAGAAGGCAGAGGACAAATTTGAGCGCGAGGAAGTGGGAGGACAGCTTGCCTGTGCTTTGCAATAGTTGAGATCGATCCCCCACCGTTTGTCAATTATAGCTCGGCCCATAAGTCTCACGTCGAGCAGGGCGTCGTAGACGATTTCATCAAACGACTTCGACCTTGCACCAAGAACTGCACGCCTAGATAGCGTCACGGGCAGCGGGCAGCCCGATCACCGGCTACAACACGAGGCAAGCCACAAACGAGCCGGGAGCACTCTACTTTAGCCTGGGAAGGGAGTGACAATAGGGAGACAGGCTGTGAGCGCTTGAGCACTCCTTTGAGGTCGCGCACGGCATTCGCCGAAGCCCCTCGCCGGCCCCTCCCGCCCTCCAGCGGCAGAGCGTGAAGAGCCGGAAGAGCGTAGTCATTGATATTCGACGTCAGTATACCCCTTGGAGTCTTTAGAATGGAAGTAAGGGCGCGCGCAGTGCTGGAATGCGATGGGGAAGGCGGACTGGGAACCGCTCTTTGTGGCCTGGGCCACGCGGCCGGAAAATGCCGAGCCGGGCGCATCAGCCGCGCGACATTTAAGATCAGAGGCGGCACAGGCCAAGCAGCCGCCCTCTCTACCTCTTTCGCTCCCCGCCGCCATTAGCTTGCATCAAATTTCACCTACATCTACCCTCGACGGACTTGCATCACACGATGTCCCACGAATACGCCCCCTTCGCAAATTTCGAGGACTATAACCGCGCCGTGCCACAGCTGGGCGCTGATTCTTCCAAGCTGACTGACGCAGACCACGTACGCACATGTAAATTATTTCGACGGCATTGTACTGACTGGTATCTATAGATGTCAACAGCGAGCCACAGGGATGGTGCCAGCGACCTCAGCTACCTCCACTTCCCCGGAAGCTCTCACTCTGGCAACCTTGGCTGGGGCACCGAGCCGGCCTACGGTAGCGCGTTGCAAAGCGCGACTACCCTAGGAATGGACTACACTTCTCTTTCCGC